CCACCATGCCCAGCTAATTTTTTGTATTTTTAGTAGAGACGGGGTTTCACCATGTTGACCAGGATGGTCTTGATCTCTTGACCTCGTGATCCACCCGCCTCGGCCTCCCAAAGTGGTGTTGACTTTTAAGAGCAGTTGCTAAGGCTGCCCATGGTGCGTGTTAGGAACAGAAGGTAACAGTGTTTGTTCAGAGACATCCTGGGTCCAGAGCCTCCAGGCTTCTGCCAGGTACTTCCTACCCATCCTGCTGGCACTGTCCCAGAGTGCAGCCTGTAGGGGCTGTCTCTGTCTTAGAAGGGAGATATCTGACCCTCTGCTCAGGGCCCACCACAGGCCGGCGCCCATGTGGTCACAGAGTCCCGTCCCTTCCCCGGCTCTGGCTTGCAATCAGCTCAGATACCCACTCATGCCAATACTTCCCGGTTTCTGCTGGGCTTTATGTGCAGGGCATTCCCCGGGCCAGTGCAAAGGCCGCTGATGCCAGAGGGGTAAGACCGCCTCCCTCGTGATGAACCGGCAGAACATGTGGCCTAGTTGCTCCTTAATTTGTCGTAAGTCAGAAGTTAATCAGAAGGCAAAGAAGACCTTTCATCCACTCAGCTGCTGCTGTTTCCTTATTCACTAACTGCTGCCTGCTTGCTCTGTGGGAACTTTCCACCGCCTGGATGCTGTCTGTCATGCAGGCACTTAGAGCTGCTGCGCTCTCCTGAAAAGGGGGACCCTTCCTTAAAACTCTAGGAACTAGAGAGGCATTGGGATGGAAATACTCTTACGCTCCTTAAAACTGTCCCTCTGAACTTCTCCCTCGAAGGCCAGCAACGATGACCATCATGGTGGAGGACATCATGAAGCTGCTGTGCTCCCTTTCCGGGGAGAGGAAGATGAAGGCAGCAGTCAAGCACTCCGGGAAGGGTGCCCTGGTCACAGGGGCCGTGGCCTTCGTCGGGGGCTTGGTGGGTGGCCCACCGGGACTTGCCGTTGGTAAGTGCAAGTGTCTCACAGAGACAGCCAGCCTCAGGGGTGTTATAAAAGGGCCATTGAAACACAGGGAGAAGGCCGGGCGCGGGGGCTCAAGCCTATAATCCCAGCACATTGGGAGGCCGAGGTGGGCGGGTCACCTGAGGTCAGGAGTTCAAGACCAGCCTGGCAAAACCCTGCTTCTACTAAAAATATAAAAAAATAGCTGGGTGTGGTGGCAGGTGCCTGTAATCCTGGCTACTCACGGGGCTGAGCTGGGAGACTTGCTTGAACCCAGGAGGCAGAAGTTGCAGTGAGCCAAGATCATGCCATTGCACTCCAGCCTGGATGACAGAGCGAGACTCTATCTCAGCAAAAAAAAAAAAAAAAAAAAAAAAAAAAAAAAAAAAAAAAAAAAAAAAAAAAAAAAAAAAAAAAAAAAAAAACCACAGGGAGAAATGAGTTCGTACAAGTGGTGTCCTCTGTCTCGTGGGAGGAGTTGGTGGAGTTAAGGTTGCCTCTGGGAAATGATCTTTGCAGATGAATTTGTCCTGTTGGAAATACAAACTTATGAGTGTGAATGTCTCAGAAGTGTGGTGCACTCTTGAAAATGGCATTTGTGCCATTTGGGCCTGGAGGTGCCCTTCTCCCAGTGCTGGGATCGCAGAACAAGTGTTAGAGTGACAGACCTTTGAAGATACCAGGGTGTCCTGGGCCCCATGGTGGCCTCCCTCACCCCATCATGACTACAAGGTCCCTGCTCCTACTCAGCACATGCCGTGTGGCCGTTTCACGTGAGCCGGCTCATTCTGAGAGAGCTCCCCTGTTCCGAAAGAGACCACCAAAAGAACTGCCTTTCACCCCTAGAGGGTCTGCCCTCTCCTTTGCCACCTGCTTTTTTTTAAGACGGGGTTTCACACTGTCGCCCAGACTGGAGTGCAGTGGCGTGATCTTAGCTCGTGTAACCTCCGCCTCCTGGCCTCAAGTGATCCTCCTGCCTCAGCCTCCCAAAGTGCTGAGATTACAGGCATGAGCCACTGTACCTGGCCATTTACCACCTGGTTCTATTCGAGAATCAGTTGCTGGCAGTGAATGAAAGCTTGGCTAATTTTTCCACTGTTCCTCGGAGCGAGGATGAAGTTACTTTCTTTGGCTTGGGGCAGGAAGAGTTCCTGTGTCCTGAACTTCAGAAGGTCTACCTGGCCTGAGGCTGTGGCCCAAACCATAGCCCAGGATGGAGTGAGGGAGTTGGCTGCCCATCAGACCTGTCGGGGTGGCCGTGGGGACCTGCCGTACGGTTTAGCAGGGGTTCTTAAGATGACCGTGCATTTGTTGTGTCAGGCTTGGCAGGTATTTGCCACATGGCTGCTCTGTGCTGGCCAGCCTGAGCTGGGGGCGTGGGGCCTGGAGAGCTCACTGTCTGGTGGAGATCCCTTCTGTGTGGCGTGCAGTGTCCATGCTCACAGGCGGGACAGAGAAGTGCTTTTCTGCTGAGGTTGGCTTCTGTTCCCCAGCTCACTGGCCGGGTTCCTGCCTTGTTCTTCCGTTCTGTGGTGGGACTGACATTCAAGGACATTTCATTAAGCTGAGGCTCACATCGGGGAGAAAAATAAATGTGTGGGTGGCCCCAGAGCTGCCCTCTCCGTATTTTCCTTTCCAGACTCCATGAATTAGTGAGGCCTGACTTGAGCTTCTTGCCATCCGGGAAGGAAGCAGGAGACAAGGCCATTTCCTTCTTCCGCAATGACACTCCGCATCTGTGCCCCCACCTCCATCTGAGTGCTCAGGGGAAGGCTTCGGGATCATTTTATCATAGAGCTGTGCCCAGATGCTATTTTGGGAGCACATATTTTATTCAGATTGAGTAAAAGCTGGTGGAGAACAGGATGTCCACAAAGAGAGCCCAGGGGATTCACTACTTCCAGCCCCTGGTCACGGGGTGGGAGCATCGTTTTACCCTGAAAACAAAGGAATTTTCTCCTCTCCAAAGAGCCAGTAATTTGCTGGTCGATATTCCTGGCGACTTTTTGCATTAAGTGCTGCTCTAAATCAAATATTGATGTTCTCATAAAGGTTTAGTGCACATGAGTGCAACTCTTGTCAACTCTGAGCATTTCACTGGTGTCATGGGGAAAAGTTCAGTAAAACTTGTAAATTAGCCGGTTTTCCCTCCCCAGAATTCGCCTTTCTTTTGCAGAGGAAGTGAAGCCTGTCTGCATGCGGCATTCAGGCTCTAGGATATGAGGCTGGCCCCAGCTTAGTGCCTGGGGAGGTGTCTGCTGCAGGGGCCTCAGCGCTTGGCTTCCCGAAGAGGCCAGTGCTGGTTCTGCTGCCTGTCCTCTGAGTCCAGCCTGCCAGTGGGTTCTGCATGGCCTGGGCTGCATTTTTGAAAGAAACTTTTCATTTCACAGTAATACTAGGTTTACAGAGAAGTCGCGAAGATAGTACAAAGGATTCCCATGTGTCCTCCATCCAGTTTCAGTTCCCCTAGCGTTCACATGTATCCCTGTACAATTGTCATAACTAAAACCAGCCGGGGGCAGTGGCCCACGCCTCCATAGTCTCAGCACTTTGGGAGGCTTGAGGCAGAAAGATCGCTTAAGCCCAGCAGTTCGAGACCAGACTGGGCAACATAATGAGACCTCGTCTCTACAAAAAAATTTAAAAAAAAATGAGCCAGGCATGGGTGCCGTACGCCTGTAATCCCAGCTACATGGGAAGCCAAGGTGGGAAGATTGCTTGAGCCTAGGAGTTTGAGGCTGCAATGAGGTATGATCACACCACTGCACTCTAGCCTGGGTGACAGAGTGAGATTCTGTCTAAGAAAAGAAAATCTAAGAAATCAACGCTAACCAATACGTGACTATCAACCACTCTCCAGACTCGATTTGGGTTTCTGCAGTTTGTGCGTGAATGGCCTTGTTTTGGCTCCAGGATCCAGGCTAACACGCTGCATTGCACTGAATCGCCTGCTTCTTAGTCTCCTCCGGCCTTTCACACTTTCTCGGGCTTTCCTTGTTCACAACCTTGCTAGTTTTGAGGAGTACTGGGTAGTATTTCATAGAACATCTCTCAGTTTGAATTTGCCTGAGGTGTTTAGGATGGGACTGGAGTTAGGAGTCTTTGGAAGGCATGCCTGAGAGGTGACGTGCCCCTCTCCCTTCTCTCGCATTAATTCCGGGGGGTACGTGACATTCACACCATCGTCAGTGATGTTGACCTTGAACACTTGCTTAAGGGCGTTCGCTGGGTTTTTCTGTTGTAAAGTTTCTGTCTCTCTTTCCGTACTCTGTCTGTTGAAAGTGAGTCCCTAAGTCTAGCGGGCTTCATCTTTAAATATCTGATTGGTGATATTTAAAACTTGTGAGACGTTTTAAAGCTGCAAACCTGGTATTTTGTGTGGTAGCTATGAACTGGCGTGAAGTAGCCACTGCCCCTTCATAGGAACCAGGCCGTCCAGGTCTTCTGTGTCCTGGGCCTCCGAAGGTCCATGCCGTTTAAGGCTTGGCCTAGACCGTAGGCCGGGATGAAGTCACAGCCTGCCACCCACCTGACCTCAGCAGGGGAGGGGCCAGGTAAGGCCCACCGACCCTTCACTCCTCTCAATTCTTGCCTGGCTCTTGGAGGCCCTTGACTTTGAGACCCCTTCCCGAGGGTACCTTCCCTTCCTCTGCACCATATCCTGCACGTGGCCCCTTCAGGTAGAACTTTCCATGGATACATGAGTCACAGAATAGCATGACCTAACCTTGGTAATGAGTTTACATTTAAAAATAGTGTTTCTGCCCTTTCAGGGTGGCAGAAGGAGAAACAGTAAACTACCTTAAATTTGTTATTTATCACCGCACGACTTGGAGGCGTTATAGGAAAAGCACTGCTTCAAGAGGAAACAGCCTCCTTATCTGTCCCCAGGTCCTTTAACTACTGAGATTTCATTAAGTTCAGGGGCAAGAAGCATATCAGCTGCCCGGTGGAGGAAATTCAGTCTGACCACTGAGATGATTTTTTTTTGGAGACAGTCTTGCTCTGTTGCCCAGGCTGGAGTGCAGCGGTGTGACCTCGGCTCATTGCAGCCTCCACCTCCCAGGCTCAAATGATTCTCCCACCTCAGCCTCCTGAGTAGCTGGGATTGCAGGCGTGCACCACCATGCCTGGCTGATTTTTGTATTTTTGTAGAGGCAGGGTTTCACATGTTGGCCAGGCTGGTGTTGAACACCTGACCTCAAGTGATCCACTTGCCTTGGCCTCACAAAGTGTTGGTGTTACAGGCGTGAGCCACCGCACCCAGCCTGAGGTGGTTTCTTTTGAAAATGCATCTGTGGCTAGGCATGGTGGCTCATGCCTATAATCCCAACACTTTGGGAGGCCGAGGTAGGTAGATCACCTGAGGTCAGGAGTTCAAGACCAGCCTGGCCAACATGGTGAAACCCTGTCTCTACAAAAATACAGAAACAGCCAGGCATGGTGGCACATGCCTGTAATCCCAGCTACTCAGGAGGTTGAGGTGGGAGAGTCGCTTGAACCTGGGAAGTGGAGGTTGCAGTGAGCTGAGATCATGCCATTGTACTCCAGCCTAGGCAACAGAGCAAGACTCCATCTCAAAAAAAAAAAAAGAAAAGAAAAGAAAATGCATTTGTTTCTCAGCCTTCTCCTTTGTGATGAGAGGGATTTTTACAGTAAGCGCAGGAACCTCCATCAGCCCTTGAAGATCTTAGTGGGTCCAGCCCTGAGGAGGGAGATGGAGCAGGCTTCATTTTGCATCCCTACATGTGGAGCTTAGGGAATGTGTGTTGGGTGTCAATTATCTGAGCCGAATGGACAGAAGAACGCCTAAACCTTTGCCCTCCACACTCCCTAGCGGAGCAGGCACGGCACGGAGCCCGCTCTGGCCCACTCATGAATGCGCCTGCTCATGGCGCCGGCGGTGTGCACTCAGTGGGAACTTAAGTAAGGCCATCGCTTATGAATAAGACCCCACTAATTGAATGCTTCCTTATTTTCTAGGGGGTGCTGTCGGGGGGCTGTTAGGTGCCTGGATGACAAGTGGGCAGTTTAAGCCAGTTCCTCAGATCATAATGGAGCTGCCCCCTGCCGAGCAGCAGAGGCTCTTTAATGAAGCCACAGCCATTATCAGGCACCTGGAGTGGACGGACGCTGTGCAGCTGACCGCACTGGTCATGGGCAGTGAGGCCCTGCAGCAGCAGCTGCTGGCCATGCTGGTGAACTACGTCACTAAGGAGCTGCGGGCCGAGATCCAGTACGACGACTAGGCCGCACCTCGGGGGAGGTGGGGGACTCCTTTAGATGACTCTGTGACACTGAAGAGGTGGCTTGGGAGCTGGGAGAAGCCCAGTGGATGCCCCTGGGGAACCTCCACATCATCAGTGTACTGCTAGCAACATCCTGCTGGAGAGGCGACCTCCATGCAGTGTCACGTTCCAGAAATTACTTACGAAGAAGCATGTGCCAGCGTCGTGTGCACCGACGTGCCATGACAGCCCTCTGACCGGCCCCCCAGTGAAGAGCAAAGGCCTGCCTGCCGCAGGTTTCAGTGGCATCTACTGAATCCTCTCACCCGCGTGGGTCTGGGGAAATGAATCCTGCTCAGCCAATGGTCTGACCACACCTCATCCTCCCCCGGGGGCCTTCTCATCTTGGGAGATGACTCCTCTTCCAAACACCTCCTGCAGGACTGGAGGCCACCCCTCTGCAGGCCCTGGGGTCTCGGAGCCTTGGAGCGGCCCTTGCTGGAATCACGTTTACCTCTTAGTGCAGCCCTCCCCTAACCAGGGACCGCCAAACAGCCCCATGGAGGGGACAGGCGGCCTGCTGAGTGAAGCCTCAAGCACCAAGTGGACTTGACCCCCCAGTGGACTTGACCCCAGCCCCCACTAGCTGCACACCTAGACTCGCCCTCCCAGGGCCTCACTCTTCCCATCTGAAAAGTCACAGTAGTACTTGAGGTTTACTTCTCAAATGAAATATTCGTAGTAAAAAGATCAGGCATACCTCAGAGATAATGCGCAGTAGCATTATGTCTAAAAAAATGTACAAACCTTAATTTAAAAATATTTATTGTTCAAAATGCTGACAGAGACACAAAGTGGGCACCTGCTGTTGGAAACATGGTGCCAATCGACTTGCCTGATGCAGGGCTGCTACAAACCTTCCGTTTTTGAAAAAGCACAGTATCTGCAAAGCATAGTAGAGACAGGTATGCCTGAATTGCTCCTGCTGAAGTGGTGTGATATAAAGCACCTCTAAGGAATGTTTCCACCCTCAAGATTTCCCCAGTACAGTCAGCTCTCCGTAACCGTGGGTTCCACATTTGGATCCAACCAGCCTTGGATAGAAAATATTTGGGAAAAAAATTTTTTTTTTCTTGCGCTTATTCCCTAAACAATATGGTATAGCATATTTACATAGCATTTATAGTGTATTTGGTATTATGAGTAATCTAGAGATGATTTAAATTATGCAGGAAGGTGTGTGTAGGTTAAATGCAAACACTCTGCCAGTGCCTATCAAGCACTTGAGCGTCCTCAGATTTTGTGTCTGAGGGTTGGGGGTGCAGTCCTGGAGCCCGTCCCCCATGGATACTGAGGCATAGCTGTACTGTGTGTTTTCACTTTGCTTTCAGAACTACAACTGCAGTGCGATTGATTACAATAAATGTTTTTCTAAAAAGTCATTTTCCCACATATTTTGTCTAAAGTATCTCTAACACTCAGAGTCTTACAAATGGAACAAGAGGGGAAGTACCAGATTTGTGGCTTTAAAGAATCCAAGAGTGGACCAGGCGAGGTGGCTCATGCTTATAATCCCAGCGCTTTGGGAGCCCAAAGTGGGAGGATCACTTGAGGCTAAGCGTTTGAGACTAACCTGGGCAACATCGGGAGACCTCCATCTCTACAAAAAATGTAATTTATTGATCCCCAGCTCCTGGGGCAGGGCAAGGATTTGGGACTCTCCTCTCAGCCCCTGGGGGCTCGGAGGGAGGCACTTGTGCCAAGCCTCCTTAGAGGAAAGCTCAGTATCCCAGCGCCTCCGTGTGTGTAAGGACCTCAGTGTGAATTATAACCCATGGTGATTAAGGAAGGGCTGAGCCTTTCTCTTGCAGAGCGACTGCTCTTCGGCTGGCCTCGTCTAGCACAAATCAGGTGCCCTCACACAGGCCACACTCCTGGAGTTAATGAAGCCGCCTTAATCATTTAGGTGCCATTTGAGTTGATGGGGGACAGGGCAGGGGTGGGAAGGAGAGGTTGTCTGTGAAAACTGAGGGTGGCGTTTCTTGATGAACTGATCATTCTTGCTCTTCCTGCAAATAAGTCCTTCGTACCGTCCCTGGATCTAAAAACGGAAAATCAGGGCATACCCACCTCCCAGTTTGCTGTAGCTTTAGTGGGCTCTAAAGTTGCCCTGTTTCGTGTAAAGGAAAGAACATTGATTTGTGGACAGCATGAGAATGAGATGTTTGGGTTCAGTGCTTCAAAGTTGGGAGACACTTTTTCCATGTTAAACAAATGCCACCTTCTCCAGCTGCTTAAAGCAAATCCCCCTGGAACAATCAGGGCTGAAATCGAGTTCCCTTTGTTCGGCGATTGGGCCCCCCTCATTTCTACTTGTGCCTCAGGCCCCAGTCTGTGTCAGGTCTAAGGGACATGGGTGGTCCCGGCTCAGAGGCCCCATGTCCACTGCAGCCCCTCCCACGCCTGCCCACCCCTCCCACAGGGAAAAACACACAGGGAACTGATGGTCCAACTCCTGACCAGTTTTGTGTCTGATGGGGCAGGCCTTGCTGAGTGAAGATGCTGAGACTACTGGGTCCTGGGGTGACTCGGAGGCTTTGGGTCCAAGAGGGCAGCCTGAACCTGAAGTCTCATCTCCCCCAGGAGCTGAAAACACTGTTCTTGATTTCCCCCAGGAAATCAAGCTTCTGCTTCTCAGCTCCTGTGGTTTTAGTATTTATATATCTATATCTTCTTTGTAGAAATTTATTTATTTTTGAATAAGTAATACCTGTCTGGTACAAAATTTCAAAGGTGCAGAAATTAAGAGAAGGCCTCCTCCCCATGCTGACCCCAGAGGCAGCCACTGTTACCAATTTCATGTGTATTCCTTTAAGTGTTTTGAAATAAGTCTCTGAAATCTGCTCATTTCCTTCTGTCAATATTCCTTGCTGAAAACCAAGAGAAACTCAGAAAGAATAATGACATAAAACCCACAAATTTCACCACCCAGAAAACTGCTGGTAACACATTTGGTGTCTTTCCTGCAATTGTTTTAATGCTATGTATGTATGTTTCTAATGTACTCGCCTTCCTATCCTGTATACTCCTTTGAATACCTTTATCAATGAAAGTTAAATAACATTTGTGATGTAATTTAAAATTCCTCGTAAATATTTTTAATGTCTGCATAATATTCCACTGTGTCTAACCATGTCCCTGGTGTTGTTTCCTTTTGTGGAAATGCTGAAGTATTATGGTAATACTGTGTTAATAGTCTCTTTATTGCATGCTGGTATATAGTCTTTAGGATTCATTCCTCAGAGTGAAATTGCTGGATTTAAAAGTATACAGCATTTTTTTTTTTTTTTTTTGAGATGGAGTCTTGCTCTGTCACCCAGGCTGGAGTACAGTGGCACAATCTCAGCTCACTGCAAACTCTGCCTCCTGGGTTCAAGTAATTCTCTTGCCTCAGCCTTCCGAGAACCTGGGATTACAGGTGCCTGCCACCACGCCTGGTTAATTTATGTATTTTTTAGTAGAGATGGGGTTTCACCATGTTGGCCAGGCCGGTCTCAAACTCCTGACTTCAAGTGATCCACCTACCTCGGCCTCCCAAACTGCTGGAATCATGGGCATGAGCCACCACACCCGGCCAAGTATGCAACATTTTTTTAAGATGGTTGATCTATTAGGTCAGAATCCTTTCTGGAGAGGCGGTATCATTAACTTACTCTCCCAACAAGGGGGCACACATCTCATTGCATCCCCACCAAGAAGCAGAGTGCTAGTGTCTTGTGCCTTGATTAATTTCATGGGTGACTGCTGACATCTGGTTTGATTCATTTTCCTTTGATTATGAATGGAGTTGATTGATCTGTAGCTTGGCTGTCTCTCAGTGAAAGACAGCTGGAGGTAACCCCCTAGGTGACTGCCTGCTCAGGGGTGTTGGGACCCCCACCCCAGCTCCCTGTGGCTGATCCAGCTGGGAGGGTGAGCAGGGAGCCAGCTACATGTGGCTGGTGGGGCAGCTGGGTGGCGGGGTGTCTGGGTGGCCAGGTAGCATGGCATCTAGGTGGCTGAGTGGCAGGGTGTCTGGGTGTCCAGGTGGTAGCATGTCCAGGTAGCAAGGTGTCTGGGCGGTGGGACAACAGGGTGTCTGGGTAGTGGAGCGACAGAGTGTCTGGGTTGCAGGGTGTCTGTCTGGGTGGTAGGGTGTCCTGGTGGTGGGGTCTCTGGGTGTCTTGGTGTCTGGGGGGCAGGGTATCTAGGTGATGGGGTGGCTGAGTGCTCAGTTGTCCAAGTGGCTGAGCTGCAGGGTGTCCAGGTGTCCAGGTGTCTGGGTGTCTGAGTGGCAGGGTGTCTAGATGGTGGGGTGGCTGAGTATCCAGGTGTCCAAGTGACTGAATGGCAGGGTGTTGAGGTGGCTGGGTGTCCGGGTGGCAGGGTGTTATGTTTCTGGATGTGAGGTGTCTAGGTATCTGGGTGTCTGGGTGTCAGGTGTCTGGGTATCAGGTGTCTGGGTGTCTGGGTGTCAGGTGTCCGGGTGTCGGGTGTCAGGTATCTGGATGTGTTGGTGTTCAGGTATTGGTTGTTGGTATTGAGTGTCTGGGTATCAGATATCTGGGTGTCAGGTGTCTGGGTGTCTGGATGTCTGGATGTCAGGTGTCTGGGTGTCTGGGTGTTGGGGTGTCCGGGTGTCAGATGTCTCGGTATTTAGGTGTTTGGGTAACAGGTGTCCGAGTATCTGAGTGTCTGGGTGTCGGGTGTCTGGGTGTCTAGGTATCTGAGTGTCAGGTGTCTGGGCATCTGGGTGTTAGGTGTCTGGGTGTCCAGGTGTTAGGTATCTGGCTGTCAGGTGTCTGGTTGTCTGAGTGTCAGGTGTCTGGGTGTCCTGGTGTCAGGTGTCTGGGTGTCAGGTGTCTAGGTGTCAGGTGTCTGGGTGTCCGGGTGTCAGGTGTCCTCATGTCAGGTGTCTGGGTGTCTAGGTGTCAGGTGTCTGGGTATCCAAATGTCTGGGTGTGTGGGTATCTGGGTGTCAGGTGTCTGTTAGGTGTCTGGGTGTCTGGTTGTTGGGTGTCTGTGTGTTGGGTGTCTGGGTGTCAGGTGTCTGGGTGTCTGGGTGTTCAGGTGTCTGGGTGTCTGAATATCTGGCTGTCTGGTTGTCTGGGTGTCAGATGTCAGGTGTCTGGGTGTCTGGGTGTCAGGTGTCTGTTGTCAGGTGTTTGGGTGTCTGGGTGTCAGGTGTCTGGGTGTTGGGTGTCTGGGTGTTCGGGTGTCTGGGTGTCTGAGTATCTGGCTGGGTGTCAGATGTCAGGTGTCTGTTGTCAGGTGTCTGGATGTCAGGTGTCTGGGTGTTGGGTGTCTGGGTGT